CTCACCTCATCCAAAGCATTGTCCAAGAGCTCTGCGAAAGCTGCAAGAATAACATATGAAACACATGCTCTTTCAATTCATCACAGAGAAGATTGTTAAATAGACTGAATCAAACTTCATTCAAAAAGATACCTCCAAGGGCCCATTTGTGACTGGTTGCATTAGAATGCAGGAACTTGGGATGGACTCTCACATGATCAAAGCCACCTGAAAGTACAAATTTGTCAATTGCATCACGAGTCTAGCAGGATGAAAATAAACCATGTACATGACTTAATCCGACATAGTATTCCAAACACATGAACATGACTATTTTAAGGGTTTTTTCTTCCCACTAACATTCCAAACTATTTCCCTAAAAGGAATAAACAATCATTACCTGCAGAAACTTCCCAATTACCGCCAGACGTTCCTTCGTAATCCCCAGCCTTCCAAAACTGTTTGCAACTACTCGAAGACGGCGAAAAAGTGGGCGGCACAACGCTACACGGCGTCGCTCGAAGAGCCACAATAGCTTGTCCCGGCGGAATCGATTGGCCAAACCCTTGTTCCTCCTCCTCCTCCGTAATCACGACCGCTAGCTTCTTCGCGCTTCTAGTGTCGGCTTCGGGTAAACCACTTCGAGCTCTCTTCTCGCCGACTGTAGAGTTTCCAGAAACATCGGGAGAATAGTTATTTCGGTCGGCGCTTTCAACATCGGCGATTTCGTCACCAAACCCGGAGGCGTCGTCGCTGCTACTGCTGAGATCGATAACATCTTGGGATTCTCTTCGTAGAGTGCTTCTGTTACCGGAGGATTTCCATGACGGGAGAGTAGAAGTTGCGGAATTCTCTTGCTTCACGCGAATATCCATTGAACTAGAATAAGAAGAGACAAAAACAGAGGATGTTGCAGAAGGAAGGAAGAAAGAATGATGAAGAAAGCGAAACGACGAAGACGGAGAATTGATTTTGCCCTTTTTTCAAAATCTTTTGATTTTGGAATGGAATAAAAAAGGTAAGCGTTAATCGATCTCGAAGACGGCAAAAAGGTTAAAAAAACAAAAAAGCAACTCACTGATATTAAACACTGCCGTTTTTGGTCAATTTCCTAAACCCTTTCGTCTTTCGTTTTTCCCAATCCGGCCCGACTCTTAAGCATGACATGAGGGGTGGTCTATT